TGGGGCAACTGAACTCCGAGTTAAGGAAGTCGAAAACTGCATTTCTCCGTATGAATATGATGCCTTTTGGCCAGCTGATGGACAGATTGCTTGTGTTTCCGCATTGACCACATCGAGCCTTGTAGATTGTCACTTTTGAACACTCTGTTCTCCTGTTCTACACACCTCTTGTTGAGCAAACTGACCTCAAGCAAGTTTTATCATTAGAGGACATTTCTGACTATGGGTTTATGAGGAAAGAATGCCATTCAATGGTGATCCAGAGGTACAGACACTTGTACTTCACAATTACTGTATTTTCTAAAACAGGACATATTATGCTACATTTTTTAAATGTGGTTTTCTAATAAGGGATAACCATAGGAGGACAGCAGCCTTGCTTTATTACTTTGATCAAGGCAAGTCATTCTAAATAAATAGTGTTTTTACGACGGAGAAAAGATACATGTACTATTTCTCTTCGTCTCTGGTCCCTGCATCACGTCAATGCATATCAATAACCTCATATTGTCTCAAACACTGAATGTTTTTCAAACTATCCTGCTGGAACAATATTGTAGAGGTCATGTGATACTAATTCCTCTCTCTTTGTTTGTTTCTGTTTTAGCTTAAGGATATGTTTCCAGGTTTCCGCCTCTCGCTGCCTCCCAAGCGGTGGTTCAAAGACAACTATGACACAGACTTCCTGGAAGACAGACAGCTAGGACTACAGGCCTTTTTGCAAAACCTGGTTGCACACAAGGACATTGCCAACTCGTATGTCACATGATCACGCTGCAATTCTTATGTTTAAATGGAATCATTCAGCCTTTTTGAGTCGCCCCAATAATCAACAACTCCTACTTTTAAGTATTTATTTCTGTTATCCGTTCTTCTTCACAGCCAGGCAGTGAGAGAGTTTCTGTGTCTGGATGACCCACCTGGGCCTTTCGATAGCCTCGAGGAAAGCAGAGTAAGTGTGCAAATACATGTGAATGTGTGCTAATGTGTGTCTGTGCTGCTATCCATGCTACTTCAAGGCCTTTTAGAAAAGATTCTTGGCATTTTAGAAAAGCTAGAGATTAATAATGAATACAGTAGCTTGAGAACTGAATGAGTTTGGTCCATGCAGGAAGTATAGAGAATGCTTTTTTTAAAGCTTAAAGCCTTTACACGCTAGTTATTTTTTAACATGGGATTAATCGGTATGTTAATATGTTCTTAATAATAGTCTTAAAAATATTGCAGAAAAACAACATCATTCTCTTCTCTGGGTCAAAATTATCCAGGCAGCTGGTCCTCTGCCATTGCATTCATTTCTGAACCTTTTATGGAACAAATATTGAAACTGTCACACGTTCACATCGCTGCGAGTATAAATAGTTTGGATGCAAATACTCACAGGCAAGTATTTAGCATTTTCGCCTATTTGAATTTGAAGGCATAATAGTCAGAATTATTTATATATGAGATTACAATAACTCCACCTTGCTGTCAGACAAATAAAAAAACACATTAACTTGGAAGCTTGGGAAGAAAGAAAGGTAGCTGCGTGTGAAAAATAATACGTTGCACCGGTCTGGTGTTTTGAGGTGCTGAGAGCTCCTGTAGAGCTTCATTTATTATTCTGTACTCTCACTGCAAAAACCTGTTGTTAACGTGGAAGTCCGTGCAAATCCTATAAGACTGAGGTAATGTCTGCATCCCTCCAAGATTAACCAAAGACATTCTATGCCCGGTTTGAGAATAAATTCCCATGGCAGATATGTGCAGATATCTTAAAAGGATTAACCCCTTCAAGGCAGCCCAAGTTTCAAGGAGACAGCTGTTTGTTTCCCTGTCCTAAAACAAGTCCTAAACAACTGCAGTGCTGTAGCACTTACTTCCAGCATCAGGAAGTGCTTCGATCTCTTTCCTCTCATCAGCTCCTTCTTTCCTTGAAACACTGGACACAATTTGCCCACACGGACCTCTCCGACCTGGACCAGACGGACACATATCTGTTTACTTACTGTACTCAACACCATTGTGCCCTTAAGGCTCAGAGACGCCACACGGACACTCTGACCAATGCTGCAAGACAGCGGCTCTTCCTCTGCAGCCATTGGAGGTTCAATAAATAAACGTATTATTATAATATGGACTCCAGGATATTCTGAAACTTTGCATGTGCACCACGGATTCACTATACCACCTTATTATTTTTTACTGTATGCTAAAATATAATATAAATGTCATGTAGACAGCAATTTTTAGGAGATAGTAAATGCCGCAAATATACATATTACAACATGACTGTCTACCATAAAACAAATAATAAATATAACGTCATTACCGCAAATATAAATAACTTTATTTTGTATTTTATTGATGTCTAAATATATGCCAGTGTAGTAGCTTTTATTTTTAATTGATTGCTCAAATTGTTTTTTATGATCTTTTTCTATACTTAATCAGCCTTGTTGGAGGGAGTCAGATCCTACATTTTGATGCATCTGATAATAAAAAACTGGAGACGTTTGCCATGACATTTTTATATGCATCTGTTTTTATAGATATATATTTTATTTTATATTTGCTGTTCTTTCTGCTGCTGTTATTGTTTTAAACTTAATGTCTTTATTACTCTGTGTGCTTTAAGACTGACCATTTTGTATGCATGCAAATATTTGTGCTCAAGATAAAATGTGGTATCGTTTTCAGGTTACTGACAAACCTCACGTATCGCATGGGCACCGTATTTTAGCATTTCAATTGATACGCAGTACTTAATTGGACAAGAAAATAAAGTAGCTTAATGTCGAGCTCATTAAATCAGGCCGTAAACCTCACTCAGTTGTCAAATAAAATAACCCTCTTCATTTCACCTGCACATCCCAGTCAAAGGCTTAAACACGCATGTTGAAATCTGTTTATAAATAGTTTTAACGCATGTCTTGAGATTAATGTACAGTATCAAGAATTGTTATCTCGTCTGTCAGAGTTTGTCCCTTTTTTTTATTCCCACCGTCAGCAAATATTTTCAATTCTTTTTTTTCTCTGTCGCTGCTTCTTTTTCCAGGCGTTCTGCGAGACTCTGGAGGAAAGTAATTACCGTCTCCAGAAAGAGCTGCAGGAAAAACAGAAGGAGATCGCCTCCCTGAAGAGGAGACTGGGTGAAAGGGAGCAAGCCATCCTGCTACTGGAGAAGCACGTCAAGTCAGTGCACAACACACACACATAAATAAATGCAATGGGAATAAGGGTTGGACACACATGTAACAAATTACAGACGAGAAAGTCACATCTGGTTCACAGCATGTGTTTCTTCTTAGTAGACAGTAGTAATAGAGGTCCACACATGTTCCGAAATAGCATTTAATCCAAGTCAATAAGAACCACCTGGTTGTGTGTGTGTGTGTGTGTGTGTGTGTGTGTGTGTGTGTATGTCTGTCCCAGTGGTGAGTGTGTGAGCCCAGGGTCTCTATGTGGTCTGTCAGCTCAGGGCAGTGAGAGCAGCGCAGACGCAGATCCAGATGTGGAGTCGTCTGCTGTAGAGGCGGATCAGGATGTGCCTGACGACTCGGGGTAAAAAAACGCAAACACCACACAAATAAAGAAACCAAACACACTTCAAAAAGCAACAACAGCAAGCAGTTCAGACGGCAAGGGAAAGGTTAGGAGGTCGGAAGGCTACATCAATAGTTTCAAGGCTCATTCCTGCCTTTTGACCCAACAAATGTAGCTGTTTTGGAAAAGCTTTGACTTTGTTTTCTGCGTAACAACGTGAGGTTTCAGGTTTATTATTTCCTATGCTTTACAAATGCACTGATGTTTCACTAATGTTTGTTAATTATTTTCTGGGGAATTCCACTTGTTTTTCTTCCTGCTTCTAATGAAACTCCACTCTTCCATTAGTCAGTTGCCTTTTAGGGAAGTAAAGGGATTTGTCACAATTAAAAACTGGAAGTAACTAATGTGAGACAGATGGAGGGTCTGTTCTTTATCAATACAGTTACATAGGAAGAGATTGTTTCTTACGTATTATGGTTATTCAAATAAGTAAAACAACAACCCAAAAATAAACTGCTAAAACTAATTTAATTTCCTTTGATTAATCAGTTCCCCCCAGCTTCTAGACTCTTTTTTTTACACTCTATTGATTTATTTGTCCTTACCAGAAAGAAATCACTTCAGACAGTACAGAGACATCATCAAGTGTATTCTATATTTTATCTATGTCTTTTTATTACCCACTGAGAGTACAGTCAATAGATTAGCATCTCCCTATCCACATCGGGGCAAGATATCAGTTTTCATTTTCAGAATTTGATCCTATTTGCTGGATATAATGTTGGGTAATGTAAAGGAATGAATAACCCTGAGTTTTAATTAAAGGAGTTTCAGGGTCAAATGACCGCCTTCATCCCTGAGTGGTCACATGATTATCTTATTTGTCCTTCAATCAATTTCATGGAAGTCTGTAAACGGATAATCATTTTCATCAACTGTTCATTTGATTTTTCCCTTTCCCTTTTTTGTGTTTTTTTTGCCCTCACATTTCACAGCTGTGCCGCCCCTATCTGAAAACAGAGCCTCATAACATGTGAGGTATTTTGAATAGCTCAGCAGGCTTCCACTACATACCTTCTCTCAGTCTCCTTCTATTATTTTCACGTGTTGCTTTACAATCCTCACATGCTGTATGTGCTGTCCATATTGGCAGTACATTATGACATTTGAGTATCGTATTAGGTTTTACTTGAAAAAAAATACAAACCCATCTTTTATGTGCTTGCAGACAGGATGCTTATTAAGGTTGGGGTCAGTTCACTTTCAGTGGAAATCAGAAAAACTTTAGTGAAACAAACTTAAAAGAAAGTTGTTTCAACTCCAGAGATTAAAAGGATAGGGCTTCAGGCTACAAAATACATTCTTAAATTGGAGAAATTAACAAGTTTACTTTTTGAATTGATAGTCCTGAAAATGATTAGCCCCCAACGTGGTGTGTATTTATTGTTCTGCAGTGTTCTGTGCTGTGTAAACCTTGTGGCTGCTCCCTTGCATCCTATGTTACTAATACATGCTGTCAGCGCCTCTCTTTCACGTGGTGATGTCAGTCCCTGGGAACTATGGGTTGTGGGTCTTCTTTCTTCCTCCTTACATATTTTTTCAGTTTTGACATGCAGAAATACTGTAAGAACTAAATCTTGCCAAAACAGTGTCGGTTGGTATTTATTCTCAACAAACTTCGTTTTATATGACAATAAAGATTTGGATCTTAAATAATAATTTGAATTGTGAGATGGGAGAGTCAGAAGCAAAATCTGTCTGCTGTGTTTTAATTGGCCATGTAACAGATCCTTACTAGTGTTGTAGCATAAATAATGTCCCTACTCTATTAAGTCTTCTCCCACAAGGATGGCCCACAAGTCGGGCTACATTAACAACTCTCCTCTGCTGTACATTTCCTCTTTGGTTCTCTCAGTTTTCTTACTATCAGTTTATTTTGATTCGAGTCAAACGCTGATTGATTTCCTCTCCTGTGATTTCCCTCTCTCTAGTGGCAGGTGTGAGGTCGAGCCGATGCGATCGTCTGCATGTTGGTGTGGTCCGTCACTCAGCACATCCCCTCCGATCATCCAAGTCACTCAGCTTTACCACCAGAAGCTGGAACAATAACAAAAACCCAGGTTCTCTTTTTTCACTCATGTCCTCCTCCAGAACACTCCACCTTTCTAATGTTTTAGAGCTATTCCACACCTGTTTTTGTGTTTTTCTTCCCACAAACCAATTTCCCCTTCCAAATTGAAGGCTCTGTTTTACCTTCTATTCTTAGAGCTGGATCTGGCGCAGCCTTTATCTGTGTATATGTTTGAAAGGGAACCATTTGTATATACAACAGCTGCTTCAGCTTCAATTATAATTCCACCTACGGGTCATTCTATCTTCCCATACACATGACTTCATTCCGAAAAGATTGTGCAAATTATACAAAATATAAACTTTATCTGGAACTACATGGCTGCTTTCAACTTAGTACTCCTTGTTCACTTTTGAACCATGAACTGCGTCAGTCCAATTGGATCAATCGGATCCTGTGGTCACAAAGCCAAAGTTTGGCTTCTTGGCCAAAAAAAAAGAAGATAACTTGAAGACTTTCACAATTGTGACAATCGTAGAATCTTCTCACGTGATTCTGCAGATGTGCATTGCCTTATGGCTCCCTCCTTGTGACAAGTGGCCCTCTTCAAATAAGAGAAACAACACCCCCATGTGGCTACAGAATAATAAAAAGTCTGGATAAATGAGAAGTCTCAGGATGCACATTGGTAACCAGGTGGGTATCACAGAGGATGGATTCTGATTCAAATACATTATGTCATTGCTTTGTACTGCCATTGACTCTCATTGAGGCTATAGACTGACCTTGAGAAGCCTCACTGCTTTCACTTCTGATTTGCATCTAAAAGTAGAGATTCCCTTAATGTTCTAGTGCCATGGTGGATTTTTTATAAAGTTTAGTCCTGCGAGAGACTACAAAAGATGTAATGTACTCTACTGAGAGAGAGAGAGAGAGAAACCAAGGAAACGTGGCCCATTGTTGCTTTTTAAGTAATGTACACAATCATGCATCAGTTTGCTTTTCGACATTGATTATGCTAATGTAAAAAGAGTCCATAATATTTACAACACTTAACCTCTTCTGGCACCTTGCCTGTTAAGGAAGTGTAGACTGAGCCTGGAATTGTATCAGTTTCCTCAAGGTCTAACTAGATATTGTAAAGCAGCTATATAAAAGGATCAGTTCACCCATTTTACGAAAAGGGTTTTTCAATCTTCTTGATACAGTTTATTTGAACTGATGGTTGTTTGGTGCTCAAAGTATTGGAAAATTGCATATAAAAAACAGAAATCCACAGTCAATCAAGAGGTATGACTGTCTTTAGTGGACCCACCATCTTTAAAATAATAACGCCTTAACAACGCCTTCCAGGGTAACATCCTGAGTAGCTAACCTCCATTATATTTTGGTTGAAGCAGAAAGGGCAAGCTACCTCAAAATCTCTGCAGATAAAAACAAAAATATACATTGCAAGATACCCGGAGGAGTGGTTTGGGTGAACTGTCCTTTTAGGAACACGATCGTCTATTTATTTTAGGATGAACCTCTGCTTCAGTCAAGGAATGCAGAAAGAAAGCCCCGCTTGTGGTGTTCATTTACCTGAAACAAATCCAGGTTATGACCTGACAGACAAAGGAGTTCAAAAAACATTCGTTTTTACAACTCGGGCTTGGATTCTAGAGATCAAGGCCAAAAATGAAAATGGGATGAGGAACCATTATACCACTTTTCAGGAATGGCTGGTTGTGATCAGCGTGTTATCAGAATTAAACCTCATACTCAAAAGCCATATTGAACACTTGAGAAGGGGCAATGGTTTCACATGTGGCTGTGTGTAATGACCAGCTGCGGGTTTGAGTTAATGAAGTGTATAATTACTACAGCTGTTGTAAAATGGTCTGAAACGAGGCCTATGAATAGGTCAAATTATGCACTTTATGGATGAATGGCAACCCCTCATGTTTGCTAGGATATGTTTTTTTTACTCCTTCATTTGTTTGCGACGGAAACGTGCCTTTTCAACCACTGAATCTGTCTCGATTCACAACTGGATCTTATGTGTTAATTTCATTTATGTATATGGGGTTTTGTTCGGGTTAATTCCCTTCACGTGTAATTCTAAGTGCCTTGAACATCTTTCACTTAATGTTTTTTTTTATGTGTTTGAATAGGTTTGTGTAAAACATGAGATGTTGTTAGGAAATTCAAGTTGTTCCTCTGAAGGAGATCATGTTTTAATTGACACTTGTGTATGTCGTTGTTTGGAATAGACTGAACAGACATGGTTTTTTAATATTGCATTAATTCATATGAAGTTCACATATGCACCCAAAGTCTTTGGTATCACTATTAATGTCCTGGATTTTAAAGGGACAATTCACGTAGAAATCTGGTCTGAAATGAATACTTTAGATACTGTAGCCCATGCTATAGCAGAGATGTTTATCAGAAATAAATGTTTATTCACTAAATTAAATGTGGAATGATCTATTGAGTTCACATGTATAATTGTTCACATTTAAAGGAGATGGTATCAGTAGTTTTTGCTTGGGTGAAATTGGGTCTGTTCGAATAAGTGCTAAGATGATATGGGCTTACAGTTGCAGTATGTCCTATTTTAAAAGTGTGATGATCTCGAAATGTAATAAATTCTTATGACTTATGAACATCTTGCTTTATTAATGTAGTTTATTTTCAACTATAACTCCAAAAATACTACTTTAATAGATTCCCTGGAGAGGGGGCTATTCTGCCTAATCAGTAAATACTTGAAGAACACGAACAAGAACACAGCTTATATGATTCAGGGGTATGATTTTACAAGGTGTCTAGCTTTTCACAGGTAGTTCCATTGGATCTTCTGTTTTTTATTGCCTTTCAGATGTGTGATGGAAGACCAAGAAAGCAGAATCCAAATGTATTTTATAGCTAAGAAATATGTTGTGCTTTTGGCCGTGTTCGGTGGTTTCTACGAAATTCGGGGAGAATTCGGGTAATGGGACATGGAAACATTATTATATTTATTGCAGATTCACAACAAAATACTATCGAATACTGTACGTTGCTCCAACCTTGAGGTGTAAATGCAAAATATGTGTTTTTCTTGACCCAAAAAAATTTACAAAGACCCAAAAATCGCTTAACAGTGGAAATCAGACTGCTCATGACAATTGTTTTATTTCATTCCACAAGCACGTTCGTAATCCGCACCAGAGTAAACAATACCATGTTTACATAATGTTTTACAACAACCATGTTCCATTGCAGCTACAAATTCCTCCCCTGCCCCTCCTTAAGACCACATTTCTCTGATCCTGATTCCATATCACTCACAGCGGACTTATCTTCAGAGAAAACTGTTAATGTTTGTACAGATGAAGCTACAGAACTGTACTGTTTTAGTTGGCACAACTTCAGAGATGCCGCTACCCCAATAACCTCAGTGTTTATGATATGGATCCAGCACCAACAGAATGCTGGCATCAAAGGTGCAAAGCGGAAGACATTGGGAGAGAGACATTCAACAACCGAAGACATGTGGCTAGCAGACAACCACAGGGAAGGCTATAAAAAAGGTGGGCCCCCATAGTGTTCGAGACCAAGTTTCCCGTGGAGTTTATCACTTCTGTATCTTCTCTTTGATTAGAGAAACGACCACTGTTGGCATCCACAGCGGGTTAAAGCTAACCGGCTAAAGTTCCATGGTAACATCCCTGGCCTTTTTCCAAAAGCTCTAACTACTAGACTAGAAACAAGCTGGCATGTTGCGCACCACAGGACTGGAGTGATTTGCTGCGTGTGATTAAAAGCTCCTAAAACATAAATGGTACCAATCTACTGAGGAGCTACTGCTTTTCTTCCAGACTGTGGTGCTTCTCAACTCACCCTCGTCCTCTGCAGACCATTAACTCTAGCACAATATACAGACCAGGTAACATGTTTTAGCAAGCCAACATTTATTAGTGTATGACACAGTGTGACTGGTATTCAGGAACGACTTTTCTGATCCAAGTATTACAGTGCAAAGTCTGCAGCAAAGAGAGAAGAAGAAACAGTGCTGACAGATGAACCTGCGTCATTGGCTTCTACTGACAGTTCATGGCAATGTTCTTTTTTAATATGGCTAGCCACAAGTAACGACACTCGGAGAAGATGAATCTGTGGAGTCTCAGCATGAAATGGCCCCCATGGGCACGTTGTTTTTGCCAGAAAAGTAATTGGATGGTAAAAAGCCATATCTAATGATGACTTGGCCTCTGCTGTACATGCGTTATCATCTGTTCTCCCTTTAGATTCCCTACCTCCCACAAAGACACTGTTGCATTTAGCAGATTTTGTGCGGGTTTTGCCGTTTTCCCACACTGCAGTAGCAAATTATTTGCTTCCTGGTGCCAGCCCAGCGGCGCACATCCACTTCACTTAACGTTGTCTCATCCAGAGACATATGGCGCCAATCATTGTTCTTAGTTATATATCTGAAGGGCATACTACCCAATCAGTAGACTAATGACACTTCTGTATAGGGCAGGTAGATTTTTTTCTTAAAATATTAAGACTTTATTGACTTGTATTGTAAATGAGATACATTTCAATGTTAAAAAAATGTAATGAATGGGTGAAGGCTATTTGTCCAATAAGGTCGAAATGGGAAAATTGGATTTACACAAAGTTAGATTTCTCACTTTAACACCAGCCCTGCAATTTGCCATTTCATGAACACATCAAATCTTATGCCACGCCTGTTGTGTCTCCGTAAAGAGTAAGATTTAACAAAAAGTCATAAACTCTTAATAAGTTGTTTACCAGTTTGGAACTAATATTAATCAAGTGACTTGATACAGCAGATATCAGTTTTTTTATCATGCAGTATCCAAAAGTATTATGACCACAGCTTCTCAATTGAACCCCCAAGCTATAAACTTCCCTCCTGACCTTTTTAAGAAAATCATCCTTGTTATCCTATTCAGTTGTGTATAATCAGAAAATAGATTTTACAGTGTCAGAACAGAGATATTTGACAGTGCTAATCATAAGACTAGCCTTGGGTGCTGAATTGTGTCCAAAAATGCTGAGAGGCTGGTTGGTGCTGGCTGCAGTCCTGTCATCAGCTGGGATTACTGATGCTTGTCACAAAGACTGAGATGAATGCATTAGCGAAACAACCTCATATTTTTGATCTTATGATAGCGTTAGGGCGCCCAGCTCTGGGGCAGATTCTTTCCAGAAATGAGTTTCCAAACACATTTAAGGATCTCTGTGAAAATGCCATTACAATTGACAATGTTCATCTACTCTCCTTTTCCTCCATGATTCAGCTTCTTTCTCAATAATTAACCTTTTTTTAAATAGAGCTTATAGAACAATGGTCAAGCCTTAGGGAGCAGAACAGACTACATTGGTCATAGATTTGGTATAAATAAAAAAATCTATTTACTGTCCTTAAAAGTAAAAGGTAATATTCACGGAAAATAATTGAAAGTAATCCAAATCACCCATTTTTCATGAACTGCATTGAATATAATATGACATATTCCAAAAATGTGTTACTTAATGTAAGTTAGGGGTTGTTAGTTTACTATAAGGTTGTAAAGAATTTATTGAGGAAACGTTTTAGAAGAATGTATCTGTTAAAGTGCAACTACGACTAAACAGATGTTAAAATTGTTGTCCTACCATTGTTCCCAGCTGACAAAAAAAATGCACTGAATTAAAAACAACCAGGAATCTTCTGAATGTTCACCCCTCTGACATTGCAGATTTCAAATGCCTGAGGGGTGAACATTAGGTATAGGGAAAACCTGGTGCTAGGACCAAATTTCTTATTTTAGGTAACCAAGGGAATTGCCTGGGCAAGCAAGTATAGTGCTCTTCAGAGGTGAGTAAACATGTTTAAAGAGCCTGCTAGAGGGCAGAAAACTGTGTGAAATAGGTTGAATCCTATGTCAGACATGTTGACATATCATTTCCTTTAATCGTTTATTTGAATAGGGACAATGCACATTAATGAACACTTTAGAGAAATAATGCTTCAAGTGTAAATATGCCAGATTTGAGCTTTGAGCTCCTTTCCATCCGTAGTCCCTGACATACAACATATAAGAACATGACATTTGTAAACATAGCAACAAATAAATACATGATATGCAAAAGAGCAAGAGCAGTACACACAAGTATTTACCACATGGCAGTACACTATAGCAGCAATGACATATTAAGTGCAAGAGATGATACAAGAGATGCATAAAGTGCAAGAGGGATACCCCTGTGTTAAAGTGCATTTAGTGGTGATTGCACGTCTGGTTGTTTCTCAACCATTCTCTGAGTTGACCTTTAAACTATTGAGAGTGGGACAATCCCGTATCTCAGTTGGGAGGCTATTCCACAATGAGCAAATGGAAAGTACATTTTGTTCAAAAGTGGTCCATCTATGGTGGACTTCACAGTCTCCTCTGGTTTCTGACCTAGTGCAGCGTCCAGTGTGTTTTTTGTGGATGAATTCCCCTAAGGGAGAGGGGGCCAGTTCATATAAACATTTATCAAAAAAAACACATACTTTTAAAAGACTTAAAATGGTCAAAACTCAGGAAATTGTGTTTTTCAAGGATGGTACAGTGGTGGTATGAATTTGGCTTTCTGTCAAATACCTTGATAGCTCTCTTGTACAGCTGTTCTATTGGTTTCAGGTTTGTGGCACAAGCAAACGACCAGTTTGTCAAACAGTATTCAATGTGGGATAGAATCATACAGTGGAGGTATGACTTTGCAGCATTGACAGTTAAGAAAGGTCTAATTTGTTTAAAATGTTGCAAGTTGTATTGAATGGTATTGGATACTTTCTTAAAATGTTTCATAAAAGTCAAGTTCGAGTCCATTATGACTCCAAGATGTTTATGTTTATTAAGGATCCCCATTAGCTTTTGCTCTTGACAAAAGCTACTGTTCCAAGATACTTGAAGTGGGGGACTAGTTCTATTTCTGCTCCGTTTAGAAACACATTGGATCCTTCGATTTTGACTGGTCGTCTACTGAACATGATGCATACTGTTTTTTTTATACTGTAAGCAAATGTTGTTCAGCCAGTGTTGAACCTTGCCAGTGTTGTACCTTTGAGAGACAGGATGAGATCATTTCAGTATTTCTCCCGTGTACAAAGATGACCACATCATCGGCATACATTTGCACATTCAATTCAGGACATACATTAGGCAAGTCATTAATGTACAGAGAAAACAGTAATGGTCCAAGAATGGGGGATTTGGCACCGTTGACCAAAACACACTGTTTTCTGTTCGATAAGTAAGACTTAACACACTGTATTGAATCAGCCGAAAAATTGAAATACGTCAGCTTTGTAAGGAGCACTTGGTGGTCAACAGTGTCAAAAGCCTTACTGAGATCAAGGAAGACAGCACCTACATACAGTATGGGCTCGTGTCCAACATACATTTAACCTTTTCCACAAAGACACAGTTAGCTGTCTCAGTGGAGTGGTGAGCACGAAAACCAAACTGCATTGGGTGGAATGGAGCGAAACCTTTGTCTAAATGTTTGGTGATTACTTTTGACACCCCTTTCTCAGCTACCTTAGAGACACAGGGGAGGATATCATAGGAAAAGCATGCCTCCTGACTCACTGTTTTCTAGGGATGTATCGATATATCGCGAT